GGATTTCGCAGCATGGCGGAAACAGTATTCTGTCACGCCCTCTTTTCGAAGCTTCGTGAAGAATCTGTCGATCTTGATGAACTCGGCATGATGGTGGCAAGCGGACATATGAATCACGGCGGCCCCGTTACCAATGATGTGAAGCTGCAAGCCTCCCAGGAGCTGGCCGGCAAGGTTGTTGAGTTCATGCTGGGCCTATATCCACAAGAGGCCCCGGATCCTAAGGTTGCTGCCCTTGAAAATCAGGTACATATGCTTCAACAGCAGATTGCTCGATTTGAGAAAAGTCCTGCACCGTCAACCGCCCGCGAACCTACATCAGCTGGAAGTGATGCACCATCTCCGGTACCAGCAACTTTGGATCAGCCGTCGTTGCCCATCAATGTGGATTCTACCTCTCCGCCACCTCGAGATGATATTGTGTCGTCCAAGGCTCCTGACGGATCAACCAAGCTTGTTAAACCAGACACCAAGACGCCGCTTCTCCAAGCCTTTCAAAAAGGTAAGGCATCAGATTCCGGTCTTAGCAAACCGTCAGAGCCTGAAGAAGTCGCTGATACGGCAGCACCGTCAGGAACTACGGCCAAAGTTGAGTACGGAACTGCGTCGCATGTTGCATCGGTTGTGAATTTCCCAGACGACAGCAAGAAGTCCTTCATGACGAGGCAATGGAAAACTTGCCGTAACGACCGTGAGGTGACTACTTGGATCGAGTCGGTGACCCTGTCCAAAAGTAACAAACGGAAGTTGGTGACGTGGACAGCTCATGTCCAGAAATGGCATGATGATCTTTCAGCAAGTGAACAAGCAACCTTGGATCAGACGGTAGCCAACTGGGGAGTACCGATCAGAGATGTTGCAAAGCTCAAAGCCGGGTCATTGCTTCGCATCTTGGCTGTTGCCACGGTGCTCATCGCTTGACTAGACAATGTTCTGCTGCAACGTGACAGGCTTGGTACAACGCAACAACCCAAAGGATGGTGGCATACTCATCGGAACTGCTTGGAGCTGCCCCGACATGCTCACCTGTTTTTCCAGAGCTTGTACGAAACCCCAACGATGCTGGGGCAGCGGATGATGGACGTCATCATCTGGGCGAGGGGTAAGTTTCTTTTGCTGGCTTGTGACTTCGGATTTGTACAGTCGTCCCTCATGACACGCCTGCATATACGGAGTTCCCAGTACACCTGGGCATTTTTTCAGTCCAAATCAGTTGTGTATTGCCGTCTCTTTCTCCAACCTGAACTTAAGCCTTTTCTGTATGTTGGTTCGACCGCACAGTCTTTGAGTGATCGTGAAAGAACAAGATGGGGGAAGTTCAAGCAGATACGCGCTGGAAAGTCGGTACATGGTTGAGCATGTTCTGGTATCACCGCCGGGCAAATTATCATATGGCGATTCCGATGGTCATCATGCATGTGCCTCGTGTTGATTGTCTACATACTATCGAGCAGACCTTCATCAACCTATTGCAACCCAGGTTGAACGCTCCTTGGGTCAGAGCTTTGGTACGTGCCAAGCATGCCAGCATTGCTTCGTCGGATCCAGTCAGATGCATTCGCAGATATGTCACGTCATGGCGTCAATTCCGACGCTTCCGCAGACGCAACCTGACACTTGCTGGCCTTGCTCCGTCGGTATTTCGCTCTGAACACGTTGTACAATCACTTGTCTACTGCTACCAGCTGTTGTTTGACTTGGCCTCGGACAGCTTGAAATCGTTTCTGGCCCAGAAACTTCTTCGCAGTAATCAGGTTGACATGGACATGATCTACAGATTATATCGCATGGCTACACATCTTGGTGATCCTTTCTATGAAACTGTTTGTCGCTCCAAGTTGAATCAGGTACTAGAGTTCAGGAAGTTCCGTACGCCAGGAATATGCCGACCTCTTTCTGTGCCTTTCCTGTTACCTGAGCGACTGTTTTCACGACAAGTTCGACGCCTGCTTGGAGACATTCTGCATGTGTCGGCTCACAAGTTGCTGCCGTACCATGCTCCCTCGACGTCGATGGTTGCCAAAAGCCACCCCAAGATCAAGGACATCCTATTTTCCCACAAGAAGATCTTAGCACAGTGAGATCCTGCAATGTCACCAGACCAAGCTGGAGTACAATGTTGTTGCGCGCGGATTTTGAAGGATCGCCCGAAGTTGTCGGTTGTGCAGGGTCATGTTGCGTCTTCTGCTACGTTGCTATCGCTGCAAGATGACTTGTTGTGCATTGCACAATCCAGTTGCAACAACACGGTGTTTATGGACGCTGATACACATTGGAACTGCTTTCGCATGACACTTTACGAATGGGTTGAACACCACGACCTCGTCAAGTACGACGAGAAAGAAGTTAAAGCCGTTTGGGAGCGATTGTGGCAAGAACATGAAAAAGCCCTTGACGGTCACTGGACCGTATCTGACATCAAGCGGATGAAGTCCCGTTCCAAAGGACTCATATGGCACGTTAGAGACCACGATGGCGCTCACACTCATGTTTTTTGTCCGGTGAAGTATTGGATGATGCTGCAAAACACCTTCACGGCGGACTCAATTTTTCTTCCGGTAAGGCTGAGTGCTTCCGCAGTCATGACGCAAATGGAGCAGGCGGTTCCGGACCATATATTGAGCGCCTTTCCCTTTAAGTTTTCGTCACGCAAATCCCGGGTGTCCTGGGCTTACATACTTCCGAAGTTCAAGAAGGAGTGGAAAGCAGGAAGACCTATTGACAACTCAGCCCATCCAGCTCGCCAATTTCTCACTGTCATGGCCAAAGTCACAGAGATGCTTGTTGCTACCGTTTGTCCGCACACCAGACCGTACAACGACGCCATACTGAGCTGGCAGGCTATTCATCACCTATTTGGCCAATCGGATGTGAATGTCCCTCCACAATCTGACCCCCTCACCTTACACAATCAGGACCTTTCCGGTTTCTTCGTCAGCATCCCGGTCGAGAGATTCATGCTCACCTTCCGCATCTTGCTGACCAAGTTCTACGACTGCGCTGATGAGGACTTGGAAGACACTTTGCAAAACGCAACTGTCACTGTTGACCTTGCCAACGATCTCTCGGTTATGAAAACCATTAGAGGCCGACATTGCTTGGTTCATGACAAGCACGTTGCAGTGCCCATGCGGCTTTTCCTTGAAGCTGTACGAGTCTCGTTCAAGTTTACATTGTTCACGGTTGGTGGCCAGACCATCCAACAGTTGCGTGGTGCACCCATGGGAAGTCATTTCTCCCCGGCCGCATGTCATGCGGTGGTGAGCCTCTATGAGCATGAGTATTTTGGACATTGTCTGTTGCATTCGGCTAGGTTACCCTCCTTCGGCTTGGTGGTCCGTTATGTTGACAATCGACTGGGGCTATTGCATCAGAGTTGCGATCAACAGGTGGTTGTACGGGCGTTTTTGCACCAGGATGTGTACATTCCGCCCATTGTGTTGGAATATGAAGAAGGCAACGTATTCCTGGGCTTTGAGGTCGATCCTATTGCCCGTACAGTTTCATACGTTCAGCCGGATGTATCTTGGAAGTTCCTACACAGATGTTCTGCGGCCAATACTCGAACGCTTCTTAGCAGCTTTCGTTCCCGAGCACACTTGATCACGCGAGCCTCCTGGCCTCAAGAACAGCGAAATCGTGATCTTCAACTCTTGCAGCAGGCCTACATAAATCAGGCCTATGATGAACGATTGCTCTCACCCATCTTGCGGCACATTCGATTTCAAGCCGATCTTCGTCACTCATCGCGGTCGAATTGATCTGTAGAAAGAAAGTATCATTCTGCCTGATTGCATTCAGGTCATGATTGTTTATCGTGCCTTCTATGATCAATTTCTTGTTCGGTGGTAGTGCTCGAGTGTTTTTTGTGCTTGCGTAGCCGTGATCCACCTTGTGCTCCCTTCGGTGCCATGGCTTCCAACCAGGAGGAATCGATGAATCTTTTTCCAAAGTCCTCCGGCCCTCCGGGGACCCCAAGCTCCTCTACGGAGATGTATATTCGCCGGCGCGTTACATATGAAGTAAACCGTGCCCTTGCCAACCCTGGCCAACTCCCGGAGTGGGCGCTTGCAAACCCCACTCCCTCTGCCTCCTTCCCCCCGCCCCCTGCACCCAGCTTTGCCTTCTGAGAGTCCTTCGGACAGAGCCCCTCTTCCCCGGGCCCCACCTCCTACCGCGTACTTGACCCTCACCGCAGGGCAAGGCATGAATGCGGCGAGCATTCAGATTCATAATGAAGAGATGGCCAATCGGATGTTGGAACGTATACATGAATCTCTACCCCGAAATTATCAGGGCCGTTCCCGCAGCCCAGCACCTGACAGAGCTTATGCTCATCCGGGGTCTCCGCTACCAAGACGACGTCAAGCTCTCACGGATGAACCAGAGTCGTCCGCTGAATTGGCAGTTTCTCAGGCCGGTCAACGCACGTTTGATTACCCCGAAGGCCCGATGCTGCCTGAGCCGTCTAGGGATTGGATCAAAGTCACAACTGATGATTATACGGAACTGTGGGTCCGATTCCACCACATCAGCGTGGCAGATTCGATTATCAGCATGCGGTTTGGGGGCAGTTCTATTGCACAAGGATTGTCTCCAGCATGGAACTGTATGGCTTTGATCCGACAGATGACAGCAAGGAGAAGAAGCCGCAATGGAAGCTTTTCGAAAAGCTTCTACTACACTACAGGGCACCTGTCATTGAAGACTACAGCCGAATCAAAGCGGCCGTCGAATTGACCAGTGCTCAGTGCCCGGTTCTCAATGCCGGCCCCTTTGATTTGCAAGAACGTTGGCTCGCAACGTTGTTGGCCGGAGCTGACGCAAACGCAAGATTCTCCTGGTCGGATGAAAGTCAGACATGGCCTATGGGCTATGTGCGATTCAGCAGGTTAAAGGTCTTGCAAGATCGTTGTCTGCGGTTCAAAAGTTGAAACCTTTTGTTCGAGAGGACATGATGGCAGGCCGGGGAGCATATTGGTTGTTTCCGTCGGGCACAGACCAGTTCTGCGGAAGCAAGTGCCTTTCGTGCACAACACTGTGTGTCAGGACTTGTCGTCGATCATAGCCCAGAAGGTGGTCGTGCCCAGCTATTACGATCGGGGTGACAAGACGTGGCCACCGTCCTTGGGCTTCTACGGACGCATGGTTCATCCCACCTCTGCGATTCGACAGCCCGTGCTTGATGGATCGCAACCAGACCATTTGTATGCCATGACGTCTTCGATGCATACTGCTCGACGGTACGGTGGGAAGGAAGCTGATACAAGGACCGTGGCAGCGCTCGGATGGACCTTGGTTCGTCAACATAAGCATGCCAAGGTTGCACACTCGTCCGATCCTGTCTTCGGACATATGTTCGATTTGGTTCATCGAACTGATGGACGATGGCATTTCCGCAGTTCTCGTAGCATCCTGACTGGCGCAGCCACATTCTGGTCCAGTTGGCAGTCCTAAGCTGATGTGCATGGGTCAGTTTTGTTCGCTTGTTTCCTTTGTTTACTTACTTGTTTTTCATTCTACGCCATTCTGCCTAGTGCTGCTGAACATCTGCCTATGACTGGAGCATGTCCTCATTCTCACGTTTTGAGCGTTTCGCGCTCCGATGTGTGAAGAATCTCTTCCGAGTAAAAAAGACAACGACGACTAATGTGCAGTGTCGCGGCCTGCTTGATTGAAGCTAACTTGCTCTTTTGTGATACTCACGCAGCTTCTCTCGCTTCATGTTAAGGCTGTCGTCCGCAGTTTTGGTTTATGGTACTCGCGTTGCAATGGCCTATGTCGGACGAAGTCCCGTGGATCCAACTGTACACGTTCCATCAATTCATTCCCCTGAGGAATGTTCTGACCTTATTTATCGGGCTCTTATCTCCATTCCGAACAATATGTGGATGAATTATTCCAGGCGAAATGTAAGGTCGGATCAACATACTCCTGCCGCTCAAATTCTTCTTGGACTCTACACAGGAGTGCAGTCACGAGGTCGACTTCAATTTACGAAGAACACCTTCAGATTTCCCAACTTGACGAGATTGATATTGCGATATATTCAGTTGCTTCCACATTTACAGGACTTTGAGTGCACCAGTATTCAGATTAATAGGAATTTGAGAACTATTCCACATCGTGACTCCAACAATCGTGGCTACAGCATTGGATGGGCTTTGGGAAATTGGACAGGAGGTGAATTATTTCTTCATGATGTACATGGCACAGAGCAATTGGTTGTGACAGATCCAGCTTGCCGGGTTACTCGAGTCGGTGATGTTCTACGTGGCCGACGATTGAACGTTCGTGATCCCATATGTTTCGATGGCAACACTATTCACGCGACATTACCTTTTCAAGGCGACAGAGTCATGATGGTCTTCTTCTGCGTTAGAAGAAATGTTCCTGTCTCACCCTTCTCCTCTTGTCTTTCTTTTGCTCGCTTTCTTGGTCTCCGTGTCCCTGTCTCGTCGTCCTCTTCCTTCGGCTCTGCTGTTCTTGCGCCTCTTCCGCTCCCGCCTCCGTCTGCGCTCCCTGTCTCTCTTCCTGCCCCTGCTTGTCCTGGCTCGGTGTCTCTCTCTCCTGGCTCGCCCCTCTCGCTTTCCTCCTCTGTCTCCTCGTCCGCTCGTTCTCTTGTTTCCTCCCTTTCTGCCGTCTCGCTCTCGTCCTCCGTTCTCTGTTCTCCTGTGTCTCTCTCTGCTCCGTCCCTCTGCGGTTCCTCGTCTGCGCTCTCTCTTTCTCCTCCTTCTCAGCCTTGGCGTTTGGTCACCGAATCCGAAAGTGCGGATTTCATTTCAGATCAGGAATACTGCATGGCGGATTAAAAGTAGACGAGCGTCCAATGACTGCTTGAAGTTTGTTTGCGCTTGCTGTTGTTCTTGGTAATGTTCACAGGTTCTTGGCTTAATTCCGTGCAGATCTAGATTGAGCCATGGCGGAGATTTTCAGTCTGCCTAATGTGACAGATCGTATCTTCAGCTTTATAGCTGAACGAACATGCACCTTGTTCTTCTACTTTTCCAGAGCCCCGGGCTACGAATCGGATCAGCGACCGGAACTTCGTGCACACATTCCAGCTGAGCGAGAGTTCATCGGCCTCTATCATACATATTTGCAGCATGTGATTAGGACTCTCAAGAGCATGATCATAGATCAAATGAGTGACATTGGAGCTGTCACCGTCATTCTCCACAATGCAATTGGCGTCAACACAGGACCTGAGCGCTTAGAGATTCGTCAGTCGGCCACGGGCCTCCGGCGATTTATGCTGGTCGAGGAACTTATTCAGGGACCCATAGTGTACGTTCCTGTGATGTTCGCTACACCTGCATTACCTCTGATGATATGTGCTGCTTCAGTGTGTCGGTGGACGCTGGACTCAATTATACGCCAGCTCCACCATATGGCGTTTATCGACACAATGCTGCTTGTTCGACTTGCGCAGCAACAGGAGATGATCTTTGACTGGATCCAACGTCCTCTTGAGGACAGATACAGGCTTTGCGCAAGCCTTATTGACTATATAAAGATGAAACGCGTCCGACACCCTTTGCGCTAACTATCTGCATGGTGGCCGAAAAGCTATCTCATCTGTCCGGTTGTTTCTCTGTTAAACTCTTGCAGAGGTAACGCTTTGCTTGCAGTAGAAGCTGATTGTTTGACAACTCAATCACTTACTTATCGCAGCCGTTTCTCGCCAGAGGTAGTTACCATGTCCATTCTTTTTGAGTTGTGGAAACAACCCAGCGTCTTTATGCATTTGCTCTCTTTTCTGATGGTTTGCAGTATTATTCGGGTGGATCCGACTTTATGCACCTCGCCAGATCTGTGCAGACGCGAACAATATACTCAACGGAATCGATGGCTCATGCGGGGAATGGGACGATGTTTCCAGGCACACAACTTTGCGGATCTATCCAATGATTGTGCTACCTTTCGGTTTACACATTTGCTTCCCTCTATCAGTCAGGCCATGTTACAGTTGTCCCGACAAAATCGAAGCCTGGCAAGGATGCAGTACAAGTGGTTTATGTGATTACAGATTCCGCACAATTCCTCCCTTGACTTAAGATGCTCCCTGCAACTTCTGGCTATTCACACCTGCTGGTGTCGACTTCCTGAGGTCACGCTGTCACATCCTCATACTTTCTTTTCCTAGATCGTCTGATTTCTCTTCAGTTCCACTGTACAGCTTGGGAGGGTACCGTTGAGTGCACTAGGAGAAAATCTCATGATTTTGTTACAAGAGATCAAGCAACAGTGTCAATGCTTTCTTTCAGGTCCTGTTTCCCTCAGCCAGCAGGTCCAAGTGCTTAGAAAGCAGTATGGCTGATCTCATGCCGCCATGTCGAGAACTCGTCGACGCCCTGAGTGTCGAACATGCAAAGGCTCTTTTTCAGATGCTGACAGATCCAGCCAAAGTACGGGAATTATGTCGTATTCTGAAGCACCGTATTCGAGCGGATACTGACGCTGTTATTGCCGGACACTTGCATACGACCAGCGCCTACGATGGTACGGCCCATGCCATTTCAGATCAGACCGGTTCTGCAATGTCTTGTCCTTCAGGGTCCTCTTGTTTTTCTCCCCTTTCTGCCTCCCCTTCGTTCTCTTCTGCCCCCCCTCCTCTTCCTTCTGCTTCTTTTCTCCCCGTCTTGTCCCTTCCCCCTCTTCCCCCTCCGCCCTCCGCCTCTTCCTCCTCCGTCCTTTCCTCCTCCCCTTCCTCCCCCTCCTCTTCCTCCTCCTCCTTTCCCTCCCCCCTCGTTCCTCGTCCCTCCCTCTTCGTCGTTTTCCTGTCCTGTCTCTTCCTCCGTGGCCTCCCCTTTCCTTTCTCCCTCCTCGTCTTCGTCTCCTTCCTCTTCTTCCACTCCCGTGGTTTTTGTCTTGTCATCTGGAACGATGAATCAAGCTGCGCCGTCTGAATCTGAAGATACCGCATTGCAGCGTCGACAAAGCCTTATACCGGATTTTGCAACTCGTGGGAGTACGTCAGCTTGGTCGAATCAGACTGAATTTCCATCGACTGCTACAAGAGAGATTGACCCTCACAGTAGAGCAGCCTTACCCAGAAGACGTCGTCAATTTCGACACTCTGCTCTCGGACCGCAATGGAACTGGACGGATGCTATGATCAGAGAACGTTCTCGTTCTAGATATGATACCACAGTCTCACCCGGAGGCTCCCCTCATCTACGCTGACTTTGTTGACGCATTTACGCCAAAAAAGAATTCACTGCTTGCTGAATTTACTTGATTAGGCTTCTGTCGTGCCCCCTATCGTCTTTCTTACGACTGTCTCCTCTTTTGATGCATTCTCCGGACCACAGGCTGTTAAGCGGATTTAAGTCCCTTCAATTTGTGTGACGTTTTGCCAGTCAAGCCATGGATTCAAGTGCGCTCAGTTCCGACCGTGCACTCAATGGAGTAGCCCAGGATTCACCAAGCAGTACTCAGGTTCTTACAGAAGTCCACACATACGAAGACATCGTCGAACACAGCGCTTCGGCTCCCGTGAACATTGCCACTTATTCTCAGCCTGAGCTGCTTATTCGTACTTTTCAAGGTCAGTTGGATGCGATGATGGTGGAGCATGAACGGATGCGCCAGCAGTTGTCTGCGCTCACCAGCACACTGCAGACTTGGCAGCTAGAACAACAGCGGATTATTACATTGCTTCGACGCATCCAAGAGATTATGGACCCTGAATTTGCTCCTGGAGAAGCTCTACATGGCTTGCAGCTTCGTAGCGCACTGATCCGCATGTCTCGCCTTGATCGGAGTAAAACTGCGTGTTTGCTTCATCATGTTTCTGTTTGCAAAGTCTTCTTGCATGCACCGTTAGTGTATGAGTGCATTCTTCCTGCAGCGTTTGATGATTCTAGCTTCTCTGATGCTCCTTGATCCTGCAGCATGGTTGCCTTCCCCGCCTTGATGATTCCGGAGATAACTAACACCATCATGACGTATCTGCTTCCGACGCTGTTGACTCTTACGTTTGAACTTGATCTACCGGTCGTTTCACATTTGACCGGACAAGCCTTGTCCGCCAGGATAATGGATCGAGAACATGCAGTTATTGTCACAACACGACGTCTTCAAGATACGTTGCGACCACTACCGGTATTGTTCTGTCGGATGATACGTCCTCATATTGTACCGGACGATGGGCCATATTGCTACACTGTACATATTCTGCAGATTGATGCAATTCGCTGTCGCAGAATTGGTGCTGCCTCCAAGGCGTGGATGCATATGACCTGCCCTATTGCCAAAGGTACGGGACGTATTCGTCCGCAATCATTCTCTACTACGGCATTGGATCATAACGTCAGTTGCACATTGCACTTTGACGAAGACCATACCGATGTCAAGACCGACGTCTCTATCGCTGATCACATGCATGTTCAGCTATTCAAATGTCCACTGAGTCGGTAGGTTCATGATGTGAAGTAATTGTCTGTCAGTACATC